CCAATGATTAATATTTGAGCTTCCAAGTGAAAATTCAGAACTGCAGAAAATTTGTATCTGCCACCCTGAGCTTGACACCTTCATAACATTAAAGACTTCTGATGAGATTACTGGTGATGTTAACAATTTTTTTTTGTTTCTGCATAAAGAAATGTGTCAACATTTGGTAAAAAAAGTGTAATTCAATGGGCCAGTATTTCTCAAACAACCAATAAATGATGTTACAAAATCATAAAACAGGTAAAAAAAATTCATTCAAAGTGCAAGATATACCATGGATTTTCAGGTAACAAGAAATGAAAAACTCATTGATAGGGTTTTAGATTCAACACTGCAGCTCTCCTTAAAAAACTACCATTTGTTAAATTTTGGTGTGGTATCAAATAACACCCACAATCATCTAAAAGGGCTTAAATATTCCTCCCTTTTCCAACCACCTATTTGTATGAGACTGGATTTTCTTCATATACTTCAACCAAAACAATATATTGCAAGATTGAATGTAGAAGCAGATGAGAATCAAGCTGTCTTCTATTCAGCCAGAAGTAAGACCTGCAAATATATGTAACAATGCCACTTTTTGCTAAAGATTGGTCTTGGAAAAAAGTTATTTATTAAAAAATATTCTTTATTATCACAGTGTTACATTAACATGAAATCACTTATTAGTTATTTTTTAAATGTGTATTACAGGAAATATAATAAATATAACCCACACAAACCAAAGCCCTATGGGGTTCTCAGTAAATTGTAAGAGTATAAAGAGATCCTAATAAGACCAAAAAGTTTGAGAACAGCTGCCTTAGGGCTATTACTATTACTTGTAATTATGCTATAATAGAGTGAATCGTCCCAAGGACAAATGAAATGTAGAACGCCCAAAGCAAGCTGTGTGAGACCACCCTATTTTCTAAGTTGGCCAGTCTTCTTTCCATTCTGTAACGTCAGAGACCATCACTTCATGATGCTGTCAGTGTGCTTTCTCACCACTTCCAGTACATCAAAAAGGCAGGAAACAGCTCAATGTGATAAAAAATAAATGGGCTCTGAATAAGGATGTCCCTATGAATGAAGCCCCTAGATTTTACTATATCCATTTTGATTACTTAGACGTCTTTCTGATTATGTTCTAGTTTTTCTACTACATTCTATATACTGAAAGTCATAGATAACTTCCAGATAAGGAGAACCTTCTTTTATTACTTAATGTTTAGGTACTCTTTTCTATTGTCTTACATACTATCAATTACAAAGGCTGGCATGCCTTCATCCAATGGTACCTGGAACCAAATTTCAAGTGAGAAGAATAAAATGAGTGATAAAATTCAACTCTGCTTATTTCATAAAAACAGACAAAGGAAGACAATGACACAATGTTAGGGACACTGACAGAGAAGACATTTAATTTGAGAGATAGGACAGGAAGGAAAGGACCAAAATGGAGAGGGGAGGTATAGAGATATAAGCTTGTGTGTCTTAAGAGGCCAAAAGCATAACAAAACAAGAAGGCATGGGGGTTAATTAATGTAAGAATAGTTAACAACCTGATATTATCTTCACAAAGGTAATTGTGGAGATATTAAAGGGAAAAAAAGAATTGAGAAAACAATATAAATAGAAACAAAATATATTCATGAGTACTAGGTTAAATACTGACTGGCATGTAAACTGCACTGGAATGAAAAGGGATATTCAGAATTCAAAGATGACGACCAAATAAATTTTTCTACTCATGTTTTTAACAGTTTTGAAGTAATAAGCATGGTCTAGTAAGTTTAGAAAGAGAAGAAGGGCAAAATATAATTAAAAAATAAGAGCTGAACGTGGAGAAAATAGGGGAAGTAAATGAAGCTAACTCTAAAAATAGGAAGCTAAAGGAATCAGAAGAAAAACGTGAGTAACAGTGAGATTTCTTTTTTACAATTAGGAAACAAGACAGAAAAAGTTAGAAGTATATCTGAAAAATGGACAGAGAATGACTTAAGAGTTAGTGACAGGCACCAAGAAAGAAACAAAAAATAATGAGGAGTAAATCATAGAAAAATGGAAGACAGAAGTGCTGAGCTTATTTCTTTAGACAATTCAAAAGTAGATATTATAGAGCATAATTTATGTGCACATCTTCTATGGTAAATAGTGTGAATTCAAAAACTGAATAATCTATTATGAACAGCTAAACAGAGGTAAAATATGTTGTCAGGAAAGGAAAAGAGAAAGGAATCTTTAGGACTTTATAACAGGTGTTCCCAGAAAAAAACAAGGCATGTGACAGAAAAATGAATGGGCAAGGAAAAGAGACAAAATAAAAATGCAAGCAACAAAGTCTTTAAGAGAATCTAAGCAAGCAGCAATTACCAAAAAAAGAAAAAAAATTACTTTCCTATCCAACATCACTACAATCTGCGTAATCCCAAATACTTGGTAAACACTGCCATGATCCATTTCTAAACCAAATAGCTTAAACTCTGTATCATGTTATTTAAAATAAATTCCTAAATATGCACCTAATTTTCTGAAATATTCATGTGTTTCTTAAAGTGAAATATTGTTTACTACCAAGAGCTCAACACCAGTATCCCTAAAATAACTGAATTTTAGAGATTTACCAATGATACATCCAAAATGTCTCGTTATAACTTCATCAGGAAAATAGGTGCAATAAAAATTTATTTTCCATATTTGAACCTCTCTAAGCTTTTTATACATGAAAAGTTTGTAACAGTTTGTTCTCTACCAGCAGGCCAACTTCATAACATCACATCTGAATTAATTAGTTGAGAGATTAAGTTTAACACTATTGAAAACTCCAATAAACAGTGCCATTAACTGCATTTTGTACACCTTGTAAGTACTCTAGATCTGTCAATTTAGTCTGAGAAAGCCCACACAATATTACGAGTATGTAAAATTTGATGTCTTTTAAAAATATTTTAAGTATCATCTTTTTAAAGCCTCATTTCAAGCCACTGTCACATTTTAAACAAAACTTTGCAAATATTTATAGTTTGATAATAGTATAAAACCTAAAATTCCTTAAGTAAGCTCAGTGCTAAACTAATAAAAGTCTAAGTAAACCATAGAGCAAATTTTGCCTCTTTGAGAGGGAAAAAAGGAATGAAAGGCACCTACAAAGCTGAACATTCCACTTTTAAAAATGTGTAGTTTGCTTCTACGGCTCCCACAAGAAAAAAATCAAAAACCGTATCTAAAAACAGGGATCTAAACAGGTATTTTGTAGGCATCTCTGTTAACGACTGAGGTTAACTATAATTTTTATAAGTCAAATTTACTAATGCAGAGAAACCTTTTCGCAAAGTGGTAACTCTCTATAAAAGACTTGCTCTATTAAGGCTTTGCTGCTCTGAAGCCAAGTATAAACCATATAAGGAAACTGAAGTTCAATGCCATTTATTTTGTTCCCCTCTTTCAGATGCCCAAGAATAACCTCTTTCGTTGCCCAATGATATGCTCCAAAATCATAAAGTAGATCAATTATGTACTTTAAATTCCTTGGTAAAGGTGCTTTAACAGGAATTACTTGATAGTTCACAAATCTTACCAAGATTTTAAAAAATTTAAAAATTTTTCCAAAAGGAGCTCCAAAGACTAAGTTCTGGGAAAACATACCAAATCAGTAAACAGTAATAAATAGTTAATTTAAGATTCCTATTTTGAAATATACTTAAAGTAACAAAGAAGTTGTGGCATAATTTGATCCTGTCCTTTAAAATTTACCTTTTCTTTGTACTAAAGAAAGCCAATTATATTTTTCTTGGGGTAGCATGGGCAAATAAAATAAATGTCAATTTATATTTAAGATACACCTACCAAGAGAATATCATATTTACTTAATATTTATTCAGAAGCACAGCATTATCTTTAACCTCCCTTTACCACAAAAGTACTGGGGAAAAAAACCAAACTTAAAAAGGCACAAACTAAAACACCACTGAAGAAACCGCTTGTGTTTGCTGCGACCAAAACTAGTTTGAGCCGTAAAGACCACGGATTGGTTCAGAAGTGTTTATATTTATAACTCTGACTGGTGGAATGTCTCTCATGCTTCACTAATCCCTACCCCCACGGTAGACACTCATTACTTATTAGGCAGCACCGGCCAAAACATTTGGGCCAACAGAAAAATGTAAATACTGTACTATTCCAAAGTACAGCTGTTTATCACAATCAATGTGATTCCCATGAAAATCGTTTTAAGCGTTTTACTTCCCTTCTCTTATATTCTGTTCTGAATTGCACAGAACTCCCAATGAACCAAACTACTTACAGGTGTTATTGTTTGTTTTTTAATTATAACTATCTTTATCCATACACTCCTTTCTTTTTCTTCCTACTGGGCCAGTTACAAGGAAAATCCAGCCAACACTTGCTTTCAATTAATTAACCAAATATTATAGAGTTCTGAATGTCTAAAAGGAACACGTTATTGAAAAAATGTATTACCCACTTAGAAAAACGGCAAAGGTTTTTTGTTTATACAACCCAGTGAAATAGATTCACAAGGGCTAGAACTAAAAAATCTCTATATACGATTAAACGCGAAACCCCAATAATCGGTGAGAGTATAAACAAATGTGGCAGCCATCTCAACAGCAGCAAATCGCTCTCCGCAGCGACCTAACTTTCTTCACAAACAAAAGTTGCCCGGTTCAGCAACTTAATACATAAAAAATATACATTGTATATGTCCCGGGAAACTAACACTTCTGGACCTTGTGCTGAACAAAGGCACTCTTTCTTCCCATTGCTTAAAACTTTTCGTCCCACCGCACTCTTACAACCTCTTCTAGAATAACCAGAGTCCAGATGGTAGAAGGGGCAATAAAATCAGTTCTAAATCAGTTCTACTTAGCGCTTAAAACACCTGAATATAAGAAAAGGCGAATTTAAGGCAACTTGCGAAAAAGTGAAAAACACTAAAGTTTCCTCTCTTTCCCGGCCCAGGAGCTTTGTGACCTGTGGACACATTTCTTGAAAATTACCTTTCGGTCGGGCAGTGTCTCAGGGCAGCTTTTTCAAGGCTTCGCCTGACATGATTTCCTTCCCTTCATCAGTCACTTCGGATCCAGCCGAATTTCTCTCTCTGGTGAGAGCGGATGTGGAGTGGCCTCCCGCAGTAGGAAGAGTAGGTGGCTTTGGTGGGGGTTGGGAAGCGGGCTGATTTCCTGGTCTTGAGTTTTGCAGGAGTTTCCCAGCCCCAACTAGGATCTCCGCCGAAAAAAAAAACTTTTCACTCGTGACACCGCCCGGAATTACAGTGCGAAACTCACTTCCTGCCTGGGAGAGCAGCAGGATTC